GGGTGGGGGTTACCCAGCTGTGTTCTGGCAGGACTGTCGCGATAGGGTGGCCCCATGGTCTGGCTGGGGATGTCCTTTGGTTCCATACTGGTTCTGGCTTTGTCCCATGTAGTTGTTAACTGTTCCAGGTTGCTTCCAGCTGTGTCCCAGTTTCCATCTGTGTGTTCCATATGGTTTCCAGCTGTGTTCCAGGTCGGTTCTGGCTGTGTTCTCTCTTCATTCTGGCTGTGTCCTCTGTAGTTTTCGGCTCCGTTCCCGGTTGGTTCCAGCTCTGTTCTGCATGATTTTGAACTGTGGCCTGTATTGATTCCAGCTGTGTTCCATGTTGGCTCCAGCTGTGTTCTGTATGGTTTGGATCCATGTCATATATTGGTTTCCAGCTGTGTTCCAGGTTGGTTCCAGCTGTGTCCTCCATAGTTTCCAGCTGTGTTCCAGGTTGTTTCTGGCTGCATTCTGTATTGGTTCCATGTCCTATATAGTTTCCAGCTGTGTTCCAGGTTGGTTCCAGCTGTGTTCTGTATGGTTTGGATCCATGTCATATATTGGTTTCCAGCTGTGTTCCAGGTTGGTTCCAGCTGTGTCCTATACGGTCTTGGTCTGTGTCCTGTTTTGATTCCAGCTGTGTCCTGTATCGATTCCAGCTGTGTTCCAGATTGCTTCTAGCTGTGTTCTGTATTGGTTCCCTGTCCTGTATGGTTTCCAGCTGTGTTCCAGGTTGGTTCCAGCTGTGTCCTATATGGTTTCAGGCTATGTCCTATATAGTTTCCAGCTATGTACCAGGTTGGTTCTGGCTGTGTTCCATATTGGTTCTAGCTCTGTTCTGTATTGAGTCTAGCTGTGTCCTATATGGTCTTGGTCTGTGTCCTATATTGATTCCAGCTGTGTTCCAGGTTGGTTCCAGCTGTGTCCTATATGGTTTCAGGCTGTGTTCTGCATTGAATCTGGTTGTGTCCCATACTGTCTTGGTCTGTGTCCTGTATTGATTCCAGCTGTGTTCCAGGTTGCTTTCATGCTGTGTCCTAAATTGGGTTCCAGCTGTGTTCCATATTGGTTCTGGCTGTGTCTATAAGGTTTTGATCTGTGTCCTGTATGGTTTCCAGCTGTGTTCCAGGCTGGTCCCAGCTGTGTCCCATATCAATTCCAGCTGTGTTCCAGGTTGGTCCCAGCTGTGTCCCACATCAATTCAAGCTGTGTTCCAGGTTGGTCCCAGCTGTGTCCCATATCAATTCCAGCTGTGTTCCAGGTTGGTCCCAGCTGTGTCCCACATCAATTCCAGCTGTGTTCCAGGTTGGTCCCAGCTGTGTCCCACATCAATTCCAGCTGTGTTCCAGGCTGTTTTCCTGCTGTGTCCTTTATAGTGCCCAGCTCTGTTCCACGTGTTTTCCAGCTGTGCCCTGAACAGTTTTGTGTTCTGGGTTGTGTTCTGGGTTGCGTTCCGTGTTGTTCTTCCTCTTTAGGTTCTCCCTGCAGCAAAACTAAGCACTTTTTCCTCCTTTTCGTACAGAATTTCTGCTATTTTTTTTTCCCTGCAGGAAACACGCCCTGAACTGCCACAGGATGAAGCCTGCTCTGTTCAGCGTGCTCTGTGAGATCAAGGAGAAAACAGGTGAGTCGCTGTCATTTCCGCTCCTAATTTCCCCCCCAAAACACTGCTTTCCCCTCCCCAAAAATACCATCCCACCTCCAGTTTTGCTCTTGTTCACCACAGCCCACGTTTTCTATGGTTTCTATGACTTCTGCTGGTTTTCACGACGCCTTATTGGTGCTTATTTGCAAGTCATAGAATCATAGAATCACCAAGGTTGGAACAGACCTCAAAGCTCCCCCAGTCCAACCGTTCACCTGTTCCCAACAGCTCCCACTGAACCACGTCCCTCAACACAGCATCCAGCCTTTCCTTCAACACCCCCAGGCTCGGTGCCTCCTCCACCTCCCTGTGCATCCATTGCAGTGCTGACCACCCTTTCTGAACAGCAATTCTTCCTCATGTCCAGCCTGAATCTCCCCTGCCGTAGCTTGAAGCCGTTCCCTCTGCTCCTATCCCTGATGACATGAGAGCAGAGGCCGACCCCCAGCTCCCTGCAGCCTCCCTTCAGGCAGCCATAGAGAGCAGTGAGGTCTCCCCTGAGCTCCTCTTCTCCAGGCTGAACATTCCCAGCTCCTTCAGCCTCTCCTCCTCAGCCCTGTGCTCCAGACCCCTCACCATTTCATTGCCCTCCTTTGAACACGTTCCAGGCCCTCCATGTCTTTCTTGCAGTGAGGGGCCCAAAACTGGACACAGCCCTCGAGGTGCGGCCTCACCAGTGCTGAATACAGGGGCACCATCACCTCTCTGCTCTGCTGGCAGCGCTGTTTCTGATGCAGGCCAGGCTGCCCTTGGCCTTCCTGGCCACCTGGGCTCACTGCTGGCTCCCGTTCAGCCCAGCATCCATCCATACCCCCAGCTCCATTTCCTCTACGCCGTCCTCCAGCCTGCAGCCTGGGGTTGTTGCAGCCCAAGCGCAGCACCCGGCATTTGGCCTTGTTGAACCTCATCCCATGGGCTTCAGCCCAGCTCTGCAGCCTGTCCAGATCCCTCTGCAGGGCCTCGCCACCCCCAGGCAGATCCACACTTCCTGAGTTCCTGCATGTGAACGGGGTCCTGTGAATGTGGTCGGATATTCGCGGGTGTTTGACTGGGGCCCTACAGATGTGGTCATATATTCATATATATGGACACAGCCCTAGGAATATGGTCAAATATTTGTATGTACGCGAGCGCGGTCCTACAGACACGGTCATATATTCACATGTATGAGGGTGGCCCCACAAATGCAATCTACTCTTCCTCTGTGATGTGATTCTTTGTCCCCAATCCAGGCCCCATCCCCAAAATGGGAAGACACAAAAAAAAAAAGACAAAGCAGCACCCCCACATCTTAATTAATACTAATTAGGATGGCACAGGGAACCCGACCCATTAAAGACACTACAGGAGCGGGGCTTGGTGGGAGATGGGTGGGCTGGGGGGGTTCTGGGGGGGTCTCTGGGGCTTTGAATGTTGAATCAGACATGGTTTCCTCCTCCCCCCTCCCAGCCCTCATTTTCCATTCATTCTTTGTTGCTCTCAGTCACAGCACCACGAAGTCCTGAGCAGCTCTGCCCAGGAGCAGAACATGAGCAACATTACAAACCCATTTTTATCCCTGTTTTGTTTTTTTCCCCCCATTTTTTTCCCTGTTTTTTGTTTGTTTGTTTGTTTGTTTACTTCCCCCATTTTTTTCCCTGTGTGTTTTTCCCCCATTTTTTCCTGTGTGTTTTTTTTTCCTTATTTTTCCTGTTTTTTTTTTTTCCCCCATTTTTTCCTGTATATGTCTTTTTTTTTTTCCTGTATTTTCTCTCCCCTAAAAAACATTATTTCTAATTTTTTATTGCTATTATTTTAAACTATTCAGTAATGGTTTGAATGGAAGGGTCCTTGCAGGTCAGCTGTGAAGTGGTTGGGATGGAAGGGTCCTTGCAGGTCAACTATGGAGTGGTTG